TGGTACAAAGCTGACTTCAGTAGATCTCCTATCATAACATAGCTTCATGGAATCTGCAGACGTTTTCAAGTTTGAATGCACTTGATGATGAATATCATCCATCCTTTCCGATAACACTTCCACGAATTCTGACACATTTTCAGGCAACTCTTCATGAGGTAGGCGTCCTGTTAACAGATGGGCATGAAGAACAGACAGAAAGTATACTTGGCTGACATTGATGACCAATGTTTATTAGGATTGGACTATTTACTACCGGAAGTTTGTGAAGGACTTTGCAACTATAGCTGCTCCACTACATGATTTGACTAAAAAAGGCCAGAAGCTGGAATGGACAGTTTCTTGCCAGCATGCTTTCAAGACATTGAAAGAAAAACTGGCCTGAGCTCCACTTTTATAGCTTCCAGATCCCTCACTGCCATACATACTGAATTGTGATGCTAGTTATGTCGGAAAATGTGTCAGAATTCGTGAAAGTGTTATCGGAAAGGATGGATGATATTCACCATCAAGTGCATTCAAACTTGAAAACGTCTGCTGATTCCATGAAGCTATGTTATGATAGGAGATCTACTGAAGTCAGCTTTGTACCAGGTGACAAGGTATGGTTGTATAATCCGGGGAAGACCAAAAATAAGTCTCCTAAGTTGTCTTCTCCATGGGAAGGCCCATATGACATAGTGGATCGTCTCTCAGAGGTGACTTTCCAGATAAAATGTGGTCGGCGAGGTAAGCCGAAGGTGGTGCATGCCAACAGGCTTTGCCATTATCACGGTCCAGGACATTTCAGTTAGAACGAAGTGAACAATGGAACAAATGACGCTGCTGAAGACGTGTCACCAGAAAAAGCCACTGTCGAAGAAGAAACTCTATTCGGTTTTGAGAAGGGAAACAGTGAAGCCCTTGATGAAGCTACTACCACTGATGTGACTGTTACCAATGATAGGACGTTTCCTGGTGAAGCAGATGAACCCCTAATGAAGCAGAAGCCAACGAGACAGAGACCAGTACGGAAGAAGATACTTCCCATAAAATTAAGAGACTTTGTTCAATTTTAATTTTGTGTTTGTAAATTCTGTACATTTAATCAAGTTATTGTTAATTATCTATTGGATAAATGTAAGTGGCTGTTGTTCGGGATGAACAATACTAAGGAAGGGACAATGTTACGACAGCGGAAGTCACGTGATGCTGGTAACACGTCATGAGTTTATAGAAGGCTCATGAATGTTCCTGGCAACTCTAGTGTTTGCCAGACTCCTTCTATTTTTGTATATAAGCCCGGCAAATAAAGTGGAGATATAATTGCAGATAGACAGATAATTGAGTCAAGTGAGCGGTAGTGACCGTAAGTAAAGTGCGTGAATCGTTGTGAATTCTAGCGCATGACTGTGGAAATTCTTTGTATTGCAAAATTGTATTGAGAAAGAATAAACTAGTTTTATTTAAGAATGAACTTGTATCGGTGAAGTTCCTCGGGAAGAATTTTTACGGGAAATTAACAAACGACCAGAGACGTAACATATTGTTCTGCTAGGGGTATAATAAGTTTAGTTGTTTTCTTCAACAAAACGTAAATTTTCTATAATTTCAAACTTTTATTTAATACACTGTGCTTGCTATGATTTTCTTCAAGCTCTTTTTACAAGTTGATTTTGCTCTTTTTGGTTTTGTCCATTCATTAGAAACTGTACTTTAAATATAAAACAAGAGTGATAAATTGCTGAAATTTGTAATTAGGACTTTTGTTTTCCCCAAACTGCTCACTGGGTTAATCTGACAAGTGTTTTTTTTTGTTTTTTTTTATCCTTTCAAAATGTTACTGCTTATCAAATGTAAATTTTTACAAAAGATACAGAAATACTGCTGTTTTACATATATCATGGAACCATACACCCATATTGAAAATGGTTTTAATTTTAATGCTTAGAGCTTTATTGTACATACTGCTATTACAGCTGTGGATTTTTTGAAATATAACGGACCTGTTAACAGCTCAATATGTAAAACTGTAATCGTCACTTTTCGATACGTTTGCAAAATGTATTTATCTGTTTGTAGGATTGGTGACGGGGAAGTTAAAGCTGTGTTCTACTATAATTACACAGTCCTGAAACTTAGAAAGTGAGAAAATATTTTCTAGACATTTTCATCGACCAGAAGAGTTGGGTGATATGAATGTTTGGTTTTGCACATGATTAGTATAAGGTTTCCATCTGGCACCAGTTAAGAAAAACTATTTAACTTTGTTCTAAACGTATTCAAGTTTTAAATATAGCTGCATTTACGTGTGTTTTAATAATTGCAAAACTCTAACTCTACATGTAATATAGAAAGGATATTGTATTTTAGGCAATTTTTTAATGTTTTTAAATTTCGTCTTAATTGTAATATTATGTATCTAAAATCCAAGCTTACCGTCCAACCTCCGCCATCTGTAGTCATGTCACAATAGACTCTTGCCGCAGAGGTGCCTTGAGGAAAAATAATGTAAACACCATCACAATTGGCTCCTCCTTGTCGAAGTTCTGCACAATTATTTGGCATGGTGTTGTGAGATTCAATACTGCAATCAGTGGGGCGAACTATTTTCGGTTTCCTCTCTACATCTTGTACAGCAGGTGCTACAACGAGACTCCTTGCAGACTCCGAGGGTATCAAGTCTCCAGAAGATCTGCAAGATTTTGAAGAAGAAGCAACCTCACTTAGTAAGATCAACTTTTTGTCAAGTTCTTGCATGTTATGGTGGAACTCTTCCTTGATGTCTCGCTGACTTCGGCTTAAGTTTTGCATCATGTTGTCCAAATTCTTCCGAAGAACTGTATCAGTAACAGCCTTGCACATATCTTCATGATTGTCTTTGGAATCTCGAGCGTAATCACTCGGGAGAGGCCAATTAGTTGTATGTGGTTTATGTGATTTCATGTAGTTCTTCACAGTTTCCACGTGAGATAGTATAGATTCACTCTGTGCTAGCACGTTGTTTGATATCGTTTCAAGGGAATTAAGTTGACTTCGGGTTTTTACAGATATTACGCTCATCTCTTCCAAAATCTTCTTCTCGGTTTCTTCCAGTCGCTTCTCTAAAAGATGTTCTTTATAAATATCTGAATGGGACTGAATACCCAGAGGCGTCGATGCCGGAATGGCTCCTCGTGTCCGTTCAGGACGAAATTCATTTTTCAGCTGTTTGTTGATTTCGTATAGAGCCGTTATGATATTCATAAGTTTAGGTAGCTTGGTATCCAGATCACTGCGCAAGCTGCGAGTGTTTTCTTCTACGTCTTTTAGTTTCTGAATACTTCCTCCAAGCTGGTTCTCCATTGCTGTATGTAATGAAGATAGTGTATTCCCCATGGACTCTAGCTTCACGTCTACTTCGCCCAAAGCTTTGTGCAGTTCGTGGTCTTGAGAAACGCTTGATCGGCCTAAACCACCGTGATCGGAAAGACTCGCTACCTGTTTCTGTATAGCCTCGAGGGCCGAGTCAATTCTAAAAAAACGCGTAATCTCCCTTAGCCTTTCTTCCTTCAGCAAGTGAGAATCGATGCTGCTAACAACGGTATAAATATGCTGTAAAAGTTCCTCTGTGTTTTTTGGTGGAGAAGTATTACAAATACCTTGGAAACAAAGAAGTACAATTAAGCTCAGTGCTGCTGTTTTCTGACCCATTTTAATGGGAAGAATGAAATAATGAAATGGATAACCAAATATCTCTAAATAAGTCTTTTAATTTGCACCTCTACAGTCTCTCTCGGTGTGCAATACTGTAGTTGAGTTCTGTATTAATCAGTAATTGTTCTCTTGAATAATCGGGAAAACAAGCCTCACGAGACTTTCTTGGTAAACACACGCAGTACAAAATAGTCAGTAACATTAAAAGCAAACAGTCGTTTAAGTACTGTAGTTCAGATGCTCATTTCCAACGAAACATACACCCCTCCCAACATAATAACAAACTTACCATAGCTTAGTCAGCTCAAACTTCATTAGTTCTTTTGATGCGTAAACAATCCCAGAAAGTCCAACTTCTTAAATGTGAAATACGTGACTGTCCACGTGATGTTTACTCTAATAAACTCTCTTGAGACACTATACGTCATTAATTATCCTCCCACAGCCTTCTTTTTTTCTGAGAAACAATTTTCTAAAGATCCTTTACTGAGCTGGCTATATCGCATCTGGAAGTAATTAAGAATATTTCCTACGAGTAATCTAGTTATTTTCAGGGACCAACATAAAATTAAAACCTTTGTGAACTAATATTAGATAATATTCGTAATTATCGAACTGTCGTTTTGATTTTTATAGCTACCGTAACAGTTGTTTGTAACTATCCAACTGGTGTTTTCATTTCTGTTGTTACTGTAACTGCAATTAGTCACTTTCGATCTAGCGTTTTGATTTTTGTAACTACTGTAACTGTTGTTTTTAATTATCG